GTGGATATATCAATCAATTATCTATATCCGGTATTTGATTTTATTTTTTTTTTCATTCTTGTTGTTGTTGTTGCTTACAACATTGAAAGTATTGAATTCTTGAATTCTATAGATTCTATATTTTCAAAGAAAAATAAAAAAAAACAAACAAAAAACAATGAAAAAACAATAGGTAAAAGAAAAAAAAATTCATTTATTCAATCAAATTTTTTTTTCTTCGATTGAAAATTCCGGAATTTGTTTGTGTTGCTTCTCTATTGTTGTTATGAAAAGCCATGTTCTGGAATGATGATGAAATCACTGGGACAACGGAAAAAAATAATGAATTCATATACAATGAATACAAGAATTGTTCATCATCATCATTATATGATACTGCTATTGTCAGATTTTTTTTTTGTTTTCTCTATCGTTTTGTCACTATAGTTTTTTTCGTTATAAATAATTTTTTGTGATGTTGTCTCTTGTGTCCGTTGTGATTGTTGTTGTTGTTGTTGTTGATGTTGTTGGTCTCTGGGTCCGAATTGTATGCTACAAAACAATAGAATCATGTGTGCGTGTGTGTCTGTCCATACTATATAATATGATACTCTTGTCTGTGAATACAATATATATTGACGGATTCTGTTTTTGTTGACGACCAGAATTTTGTTGTTGGCATCTCGAACCCTTTTTTTCCTATTTATTTTTGTTGTTGTTGTTGTTGTTGTTGGAGCTATGTCCCTCGTCATTCCCCGTGTGTGTGTGTGTGACTTGCTCCTCATCAATGTTTGTTTTTTCTCTCTTTTTTTTGTACATTTATTCATCCATCCATCTCTCTTGTCGGTTGTTGTCGTCGTTGTCGTTGTTGTTGTTGTTGTTATATTCTTCCTTGAAGCAAACAAGCAACCATCCATTCATTCAAGTCATTCAATTCATTTTATTCAGAATCTATCCATCCATCCATCCAGTATAAAATAATAATACAAACATAGCCATACGATCTAACAACATCCACACACACACACACAAGAAGAAAGAAATAAAAACTATCCCTATATCCTAACACGATATACGAATTATATATTGGAATCTCGTTCCCTGTACAATGGGGAAAGGGGTTTTTTGTGCAAAAAAACATGGCGAAAAAAAAACTCAATCTAGTCTTTTATTCTTTTCTGTTTTTTTTTCTTCTTCATATATTGCCTATAATTTGGTTTTCTTGGCGTATGTGTGTGTGTGTGTTTTCATTTCATTCATTCATTCATTCGTTGTTGTTGTTGTACAGACCAGTTGCGACAGTTAGTTGAAGCTAGATAGAAATTCATCCATCCAGACATGAAAGATAGAGATAGAGTTAAACCAAGTGATCGAGTGATTCTTCTGATGTATTATTTGTGCGTTATAGTCAGAAATGAAGAAAAAAAATACGAGCAAATGCATCCCTATCTAAATTACAATTTCTATCAATTCTGGTACAGTGGATAGTGAAAAAAAATGAAAACCATAGATAGAAAGAGAGAGAGAGATGCGACAGCAATTGGAGATTCTCTATCCGAAATGAAAAAAAAATTGCTATAACGGTACCGCAAGGCTTGTTTGGCCAAGCAAGAATTATATTCTGAATTTTTTTTTCTCTCTCTCTCCGCGAATTCGGCCAGTATTTTTGTGATTCCCTTCTCTATCACTATATATCTATGATGGCATCTGTGTGTTTGGTCTTCAATCAACACCAATCCTTTGTATACATATAAAACTATTGCTGCCCGACACACACAAACACAAAACATAAAAAATGAGAGAACCCTTGGTCTTTCCGTATCTTTTTTTTCAAATATTCGGCCGTAGCACATTGTTTAATCAAGTAGTGTATGCAAATGTCGCTCACTGATGAATCAGAGTGAGAGAAAAAAAAACTCTTCATGTCCCTACATGTTCCATTAACAAAAACACATAAATAGAACAGACCAAAACATAGCATCAAAGTTTTTTTTGGCTGCCCTCTTTCACCCACATGGATCAGAATATCGAAAGCAAAATTCTCTTGAAAAAAAAAAACCAAACCAAATAAAAAATTGAACACACACGCAGATAGAGAAATGAAATAGAAGCCCGCAATTCGTTTCATTTCATTTTCATCATCATTTTCGTCATTCATTCATTCATTCATTTATTCAGACGATTCATTTGCATTCATCGTCCATCAGTGTTATTTCGTGTATTTGAATTCGGTTTGTTTCTAATTTTTTTTTCGTTCATTCTCTCTCTCTCTCAGTCGTTCTCTTTCACCGTTATTTCCATTCAATTTTTTTTTCTTTTTCCTTATTCACTAAAAAATGCACGAGACAAGGGAAGTGAAATTTGTGGAGGGGGAGAAACAAAAAGGTCCAGAATCCAGAATGTTTTTTTCGTGCTTTTCTAACTCGTTATATGTGCTATGCTTAGGGACTGATATGACCGGACTGATTCCGATCGAATAGACACACCACCATACTTTGCATATACGGGCTGTATCGTTTTTTTTGTTTTGTTTTTTATCCCACTATTCACTCGCCATTGGATGGTAACCCTTCGAAATTTTTTTTTTCATTCATCTGGACTCCCCTTGTGATGATGATGTGCCCCACCATCATCATCATCATCAATGATTCTTTGTAGAACAAGCGTTCTTTTTTTACGAATGATTCGATTATATTTTATACATATAGAATAAATGCGTGTGGATATAGCTTGATTCTATTTTCTATTTCACTTCATTGCACGAAAATGCAAAAAAAAGGATTGGAATGAAATGAAATTTCTATTTCAATATACAAAAAAAAACAGAATGAATGAATGAAAAAAGTTGAGCCAGAAAAAAATTATTTTCATCATGCTCTTGTCCTGTGTGTGTGTGTGTGTGATGTGAAGTTTGTCGTTTTTTTTCTCTTTCTCTGTGTTCGTGTTTCCCGAATCACTAACCGGACCGGGACACAGAGTCCGTGCAAAAAAAAGACGTATTATCCAACAGCAACAGCAGCAGCAATAGCTAATTGGAATCAGCCAGGCAAAGTAGCAAAGAATCTGTATGTGTAATGAATAAATGGAAAGAAAAAGATGGAAAAAAAATTCAATTGTACATTTATAATTTATACACATTATCATCATCATCAGAATCATCGAAATTCCGAAGATGCATGCTAGATAGAAGAAAAAAAATTGCAAGAATTATTTCACATTTCATTCAAACCAATAACAAAATTCTTGATTATTCAATGATGATCAAAAAGAAAAAAAGTTTTCATTTTCTGTACATAAGGTACATTTCTAATTGAGACAATGAATGAAAAAAAAAAAAAATATTAGCGATCCAATTCCAATTACAATAAGATCATATCTCTCTCTCTCTCTCTCTCTCCTCCTACAATATGAATTTGAAAATAAATGAAAACAACAAAAACAAATAATTTTTCATAAGAATCATAATGCACACGCGCACATTTAGAATTATAATTAGTTAATGAGAATTTTTTCTTTTTTTTCTGACACAACAACAATGATCGTTTGAATTTCACAAATTCTGATGTTCATTCCAATAATTCGGGCGTGTCTGGGCAAAAAAAACAACAACAAATTCTTAATGATGGATATATAAAATAAAATGGAAAATTTTTTTAAAAATAAAATTACAGCCAGTTTTATACATCTGGTCATCATCATCATCAAGGATGGAATTATTTTTTTTTTTTTTGGCAATAAGAACCGTTATTACTATTATCAATCGACAAAAACAACGGATGTGTGTGTGTGTGTGTGTGTGAACCATATGTCAGGTAAGTTTCTTTCTGTGGCATCAATCTAATGATTTCGATATAATCATTTTGTTTGAAATTAAATTTATGTGAATTGTTCATTTCGATTTCTATTTGTTAGTTTTTTTTGTTGATTTAAATTTTTTTTTCATGAAAAATCAAATAAAATCAAAAATTTCGTGATCAAAAATCGACTGTTCGGATCGGTTGGTTTGTCGATGCCGTGCCGTCGATGAAATGATAGAAATGATGGTTGTTGCAATTTTTTTAAATAAAATAAAATGATCTCTCTCTCTCTCTCTTTATGTAATCTCATTGTGGACAACACCCAATCGATTATTATGATGATTGTGTGTGTGTGTGTGTGTGGGTTCGATATTCTGTGTCTGTTGTTAATCAAAATTCGTTTTTGTTGTTGTTGTTGTTGGAACAATTTAAATTTCATTTTTTTCGTTTCAATGTTTTTATGGAACGAATTTTTTTTTCTGATCATCTTTTTCAAATGAATAATCATACTTGAAAATGGACAATCGACAAACGTATACGCACATTTGATAAAAGTCAAAATGAAAGTAAAAAAAATGATAAACAAACGAATATGAAAATGTCAAAATGTGTTAAACAATTTGTCAACCAATATGAAATGTTGGAATCAAAAAGTTTATTTTTTTTGTAAATTTGAATTTTGTTTCATTTTTTTTGGAACAAAATCAGAACGAATCGACACGGACTACACACACATAAACACAATGAACGAATTTTGCATTCGTTCATTTTGATTGATCCATTTGATTTGATTTGATCGGCTTTCTACCAATTAAGTGTGTGTGTGTGTGTGTATATATGTGTGTTTCAAGATTGAGAATCGTCACCGACACACACGACCTGTCAAATTTTTTCTTTTATTATTTTCTACATTTGAACATTTGGCATTCATAAGTAAGTAAATATAAGTAATAAGTGTGCATGTTGCAAGCATTCATAAATCTCATCGAGTTAATCTTTATGCAATGTGTGTATGAATGTCTGTGTGTGTGTGTGTGTTTGTGTGATCAAAATCAAATTCGAATCACTGATTAGATGTAAGTGATTTTTTTTTAAAAATTTTAAATTCAAAATTTAAATTTTTATTTGGAAAATTTTTTCCTGAAATGCTTTGCCATCTGTGGACAAATTGTTGGACTATAAGATAATTGCGTTGGTCATTCATAGATGGCAGGACATGTGGATAGGATATATATCAGAAGATTGTTGATATATTTTTTGTTTTATTATTGTCGTCGTTGTTCGTCGTCGACTAACGAAACGATTGCGCAGATGGAACAAATGCAGACATTTGATGATGATTCGATCCATCAAACACACACACACGCACATTTCATGTTGAACAAATGTTTTTGTTTTTTTTTTTGGAAAGTGTCTGCATTTCATCCAGGTGAGTTGAGTTTTTCATTTTCCATTTCTAACTGCATCTATGTTTCTTTCACAATATATGATTTGTGTTTATTTTTTTTTTTAAATCATGAAAAAAATCCAATTCATTTGCAATAATGACTGATGATGATGATGATGATGATGAACAACGATCAAAATAGTGGCCACTATCATTCAAAAAACATTTGATGCAACAACAGCAAAAGCAGAAGCATTGCTCGACAATTTTTTTTTTTGTCAAAAACGAGGCGACAATGACAAAGCTGTAGCAGCTATATCAGCAGGCTGAATCCTCTCAGATTCGTTTTCGTTCTCATCATCGGATTTTGTGTTGTGTACTTGACTAAAATTTAGAAAACTCTTGTGTCAATTACGTTTTTTGGTGGCACCATGTTCCATCAACATCAACATCATAGTCATGTTCATCATTATTTTTGTGTGTGTGTGTGTGAATGAGAAAAAAAAACATCAAAGCACACACTTATTGTGATGTCTTTGTCCGATTGGACTTTGGATTTTTTTTTATAAAACAAAAAAAAATTTTCCCATTTTGTGCCTGGTCTTCAAATCAAATTCATTTCATAAATTCTGTGCCTTAATTATTTGTGATTATTTAAACAAAAAGAATTATTTCAATCTCTTAGGTAAGCAAATTTATTGATTATTTTAAATGTTTTTTTGTTTTGTTTGAAAAACCAGAATTTTTTCATATTCATGTCGATCATCATTTAAATGAATTTATGTATATATGTGTGTGTGTCGGTGTATGACAAATGATGGTTATAATACAATGAATTTGCAACAATCACTTCCTTAGTGATAATAATAATAATGATGATGATGAGATTTTTTTTTCGTTGGTGATGATTATGGTAAATCATAATCGTGTGATCATAATTCATTTTGTTTTCATTATATTCTTTTCTGATGTCTATGCACACAGTTGTTTTTCTACTCGCGACATACATCAGGTATTCTCTCTCAAAAAAATTAGCAATTTTTTTTTCTTTCTTTACCAGTGATTAATTAATTCATTTTTTTATTCATAATTTTCAGAAAGCAAAAACATAACATGCTTTGAATGCGGTTTATTGATTTTTGTTTGTTTTTTTTTGTACTTGGCTGATAAACTCGAAAAAGGTGTCTAAAAGGAAATATGACGATGATCATTATTTACACTTTCACTTTGTCATTTCATCATTCATCTTCATTATTATTATTATTATTCAAAAACCATAAACTAATGATTAAAAAGAAAAGCCCATATATAACATTGATGTGCATATATAATTATTATATTATATAATGGCCAAAAATGGGGTATTTTCTCAGTTTTGGTGTTGGTGGTGGTGGTGGTGGTGGTGGTGGTGGTTGTGGTTGTTTTTATGCATAACAACAACCATGATATTTTTGGCAACGAGAAAACCTGATTTCTGTGTTTTGGTTGTTGATCATCATCAATATATATAGAATTGAAACCAATAGCAAACCATTGTGGCAGTCGACAATTGTTGATTCAATTATTGTCTGTTCATTTATTTTTGTTTTTTTTTCGACCTAATATCACCAATCAATCATCTATTGTGTTTTTGATATTGTCGATTGTCAAAAAAAAACGATTATTTATAATAATATAAAATGATGATGATAATTGATTGAAAGTTTTTATTGGAGTTATTTTGTTGTTTTTTTTCAATGTCAAATTGTCGAATTAGTAATATAGTAATTTAATTGTTGTCATTTTTCATTGTAATCTTTAATTGATTTGACAATTGAGTTTGATCAATTTTGTTTTTTTTTTTTAAAGCTGGAACATTGAAAAAAACCAAACCACGCAGTTTAGTTTGTTAGATGTGTATATCATATCATTTTGTGTACAAATTGTAAACAACAGATATTGCGGAAGTGTCAGTGTTAAATTTTTGCATTCGAAACTAACATTACATATATTGTATATAATAATGATGAATATGAAAATCTATTCATTTGTTACAGTTCCGGTATGTTTTGTTTTCATTTTTTTTTTTCGTTTGCTCATCAAACTTTTCTGTTGGTGTTGGTGGTGGTGATGAATGATGGTGGTGGTGGTTGTGGTTGTTTTTATGCATAACAACAACCATGATATTTTTGGCAACGAGAAAACCTGATTTCTGTGTTTTGGTTTTGATCATCATCAATATATATAGAATTGAAACCAATAGCAAACCATTGTGGCAGTCGACAATTGTTGATTCAATTATTGTCTGTTCATTTATTTTTGTTTTTTCGACCTAATATCACCAATCAATCATCTATTGTGTTTTTGATATTGTCGATTGTCAAAAAAAAACGATTATTTATAATAATATAAAATGATGATGATAATTGATTGAAAGTTTTTATTGGAGTTATTTTGTTGTTTTTTTTCCAAATTCAATGTCAAATTGTCGAATTAGTATATTTAATTTCAATTGTTGTCATTTTTCATTGTAATCTTTAATTGATTTGACAATTGAGTTTGATCAATTTTGTTTTTTTTGTTGAAGCTGGAATATTGAAAAAACCAAACCACCACAAATGTTTAGTTTGTTAGATGTGTATATCATATCATTTTGTGTACAAATTGTAAACAACAGATATTGCGGAAGTGTCAGTGTTAAATTTTTGAATTCGAAACTAACATTGCATATATTGTATATAATAATGATGAATATGAAAATCTATTCATTTGTTACAGTTCCGGTATGTTTTGTTTTCATTTTTTTTTCGTTGGCTCATCAAACTTTTCTGTGCATGATGTGAATGATCAGAATGAATGAATGAATGAAATGAAATGGGTGATGTTGTTCCCGTTTGTTGAGCATCATAATTAATGATGATGATAATTAGTACCAAAACGAAAAATAAAATCAATAATGGTCACGTATAAATAATCATAGAAACAAACAACTCCCATCGTTTTTTACTGTTTTTACAAATTATTATTTATGCAACAACAACAACAATGCTTTTTGGTTGTGATTTTTGCCATTCATTTTCGATTGTTTTTAAGTAGAAATTGAATGATGATGTTGATGATTATATTTGGAATTCGTCAAGTGTGTGTGTGTTGTTCAACTTGTTGTCTTGCCTTCTGTTTTTTCTTTTCCACTTTCTCTATTTGGATCAAAATAAAAATTCAAGAAAAAAATAGGTTGGTAGTGTTTGTATGTGTGTGAAACAAGAAATTGAATTAATCGAAATTTTTTTTTTGCTTTGAAATTGATGATGTTTGTCACTTGGTGATAACAGCTACAACAACAACAACAACAACAAAAAAAAAATCCGTTTATTTCATTTTATATCTACAATATACATGTATATATGGTGGTGGTACTATTTCGAGATAAAAATAATTGTTCAACAAGTTTCTATGTCTCCTCACCGATCATCATCATCATCATCATCAAATATAAATCAGAAAATAAAAATTGTAAACCCCATTTGATTCGATTTTTCTTCATTCTTTTCTTCTTGTTTTTTTCCAGATTGTTATAAAACAGTAAAAGTGTTGATTTATATATCACACAGGAAAAACGTCAAATATATACTTGTTAAGGAAGTCATTCGATTTCAATGATCTCAATTTTCAGAGCCATAATTAGATGGAAAATAAAATCCAATATATCCAAAAGTTGAAAAAAAAATTTCTTATTTAAAATGAAACAGACAAAAAATTTATCATCTTCAAAAACATACGAGTAATCGATATGCGGTTTTAAATCATCTCCGGTTACACACACATACATTGATTATATTGTGATATGGACATGATTTCATTTTATTTTTGAAAATCATGAAATGATCAACTTTGTCGTTTACTACTGCTTGCTACAAACTCGAAATTGAATCTTTTTTTTCTACCAATTACTTTTAATTAATCAATTAATTATCCAAGTCCATATGTTTTTTAAAAATTACCTGAGTGTGTCTGTGTGTGTTTAATTAAAATCAATAATAATTATAATGTCATTTCTGGTATTTGCTGCCATTCTATAAATATATTTTGATTTTCAAATGAATTGCCGACATTATTTATTAACCAATTTATACCTTGATGATGCAGGCGTTGGCATCAATTTTATCTTTAAATAATTTTTTTTTTTCATTCGAAACAAACAAAAAAAAACAAACATAAAAATGAAATGATGATGATATTTTAATTAGTAAATCTAAGAGGCAATGAAAGATTTTTTCTTTTAATGAATTAATGACCTTCATCAATTCTTTTGAATGCGCGTTGTTGATTCTTTTGTTTTGTTGTTGTTGTTTTAAAATGGCTCCAATATTTTTCTTAACCATATAATTGGTTTGTCATGTTTTTCATTTCATAAATACACACACACACACACACACACACACACACACAATTTTCACCTGCTTTTTTCAATAGTTTTTTTTTTGTTGATAAATTTGATGATTGTTTTGGATTTTCTATATAAAAAGCATGTCGATACAATGTGCAATGTGTGTGTGTGTGTAATCATCATCATCATCCATGAATGTTTGTTGTTATTGTTATTGTTGTTGTATGACATGTCCTCGCTATTCGAATGGATAAAAAAAATGTATATATTCGAATTCATATTCATGTTCGTAGAGGTTTGGTTCATTTGTTTGTTTGTCACGCATTTTTTTGTTGTTAAAAAAATTTTTTTGTATTCAATTCACAATTGTTGCTGACAAAGTGTTGTTGACTATCACACACATACACACATCATTATTTTTATATTTTAGATTCTTTTCTCATATTTCTGTTTGTTTATCCATTCATTTGCAGATCCGGTTTTGGGATATCATCACTATCAAGAAAATTATAATACGATTTATTACGACTTGGGAATTGTTGTTTATTTTTTTTCCTCATTGTTTTTATGTGGGTTAATAATATCATTATATAAACCCCCCAAAAAAAACTAAAGAAGAAAATTATTTAAACAAATCGGCTTTTTTCCCTCTTTTTTTCTATTATGACGATGTGATAATCGATTGCAAATTATCATTTGCCCAATATCCTAATAAAGTACGACTTAACAACGTTAACACAACGGCAACGACGTTTTTATTACGACGACTACGACGACGACGCACATTTTTTATACCTACCATATGAAACCTAGACAATCATTTCATCATTTTCTACATTTGTTTCTACATTCCATTTATATTCTCATCGATTCTTTTTTTTTCTTTTATTGACAACACACGCAACGAAGACGTCAGCGAAGAATAATTTGCATATCCAAGTGATTGAAAAATTTCATTTTATTTTGCCTCAAAATTATTCGCTACTAATTTTAATATCTATATATATGACATATATGTGAAAATGTCAATAATTTTGACTCTCGTATGATGAAGAAAAATTTATGAAAATCATTTTTATTTTTAAACCCTGAAATGATTACATTCACGACAGGAAATGAAAACAATTTCAACTCGATCGTCGACTGAAACCGACAATAATTGTAATAATAATAATAACAACAACAACAACTGAAAATCAAATCATTCCGAATGTCTTTTATCAAAAATCTTTCCAATCCACAACAACAACAACAGACACAACCATCGGTTGTGTCCATAACGTCAACTTTGTTGTCACGTCGTGGTTCCAATAATAATAATGATACGACAAATAATATTTCTTCCGGTGAATGGACTGCCCGTACCGAGACATATGATTCATATAATGATCCATTTGGTGATCAAATAAGTAATAATAATTTTCAACAACAACAAAATGATTATGATGAACAGCAACAACAACAACAACAACCACCACCATTAATTGATCCATTTGATAATAATAATTGCCATACAAGAACTATTATCAGAAAATTGGGTCTCAAACGAAATAGCCAAAGTAATGGAACAATAGATTCAAAGGTAAGTTTTGTATTTTTTTTTTTTCAAACAGAAACACATTGAAGGCCAGTTTCTTGTTTTTAAAATGATTTATCTCTTTTGTTTGTATTTGTGATGTGAAAAGATTTATATCTTTGGATCATCATCTTTTAAAAAATGTATCTTTTTGTCTATTTTTTTCTGAAAAGAAGAAACAATGGTCAAAAAAGTTTGCCATTGAAAAACATGTTATTCAATGTGAATCTATGTGTCTGAATTTTCTTCTTCGTCTTCAATCATCGTCATCATTGATGATGATGATGATGATAATTTAGCTTTGTTTCGATTTATTAACGAAGAAATGAAAATTTTTATTTTCCACTGGCTATTGTTTTGTGTAATAGCAAAGAAAGAAATAAAAATCTGTTATCCTTGACTTAGATTTCGTTGTTGTTGTTGTTGTTGTTTTTTTTAATCGAACATAAACTGCCATTAATATATATCGATATTGATAGATTGATCGATATATCCTGCAATGGATGAATTAGTGGTTACCTTCTTTTTTTTCTTATTGACAAATTTGTTTGTTTTTTTTTCACTAAATCCATCCAATGAATGTACTTGAATTTAGGGGATTTTTTTTTCTCTTTGAAAAAATAGGTTTTGTGTTTTTTCCATTCATTCCTGTAAGGGAAAAAAATTTTTGGCGCCAATAGTAATCACTTAGTTATCATATATGTATATATAGTAATTATTACTGACACAATAATATGGCTGACATGTGATGATAATGATAATAATAATTTGTTTTAAACTTCTTTTTCTCAAGATAAGATCGTTGTCCTTTGAATTGTATGTAATGTTTTATATACATCCTGGTTGATGACACCATGTATTTGTGCAAGGTTTTTTCCCCTTTCATTCATTCAATGGATTAATATTTTTTTTTCAAACGGACATAGTCATTATTATTATTAGAGTTAATTGTCATTCTTCGATCATGGTGGTAGTTGTGGTTGTTGAATGAATGAAAAAATGATTACAGAAAAGGAGAAGAAAATGAAAATATAATGATTATATAATAGAAATGAATGAATGAATGAATGATGTTCGGAAATACTACAGGTTTCTTCTTCTTATTTTTTTTTTACTTTACCGAAGAAGATGATGATGATGATTATAATCATCAGGTGGTGATGATGATGATGATGGTGGTGATTAAAGGGATAGTCTCTTATGTAGTATGTGTTTGTTTGTAAGTGTGTGTGTGTGTATGATGTATAGATACGGCATACCAATTTAGGCTATTCGAATCGAATCGATCAAGCGATTGAATCGAATCGTTAATATTTTTTTTATTTCATCTTCCTTTCTTCGTACTTCGATGAATTGTTGTTATACAATCAATCGTTCTGCTGCTTTTCGTATTTTTTTTCTTTCTAAAACCAAGCACAATCAATCGAAGATCATTCAATCATGCAATCGATACCTTTAATAAAAAAAAACATTTATTTGATTCATCCGTGAAAAAAATTATTGAAATAAGAAGAAAAAAAATTCAATGATCAATTTTGAAAGTGGATCTTATCTCTTTCCATCATATTCTTCTTCTTGATATTTGATTTCCTATTATGAATGATGAATAAATGTATTTTATTGAATTGAATAAAATAGAATGCAATGCAATGAAAATGGACAATGGTCATTTTTTATTTTCTTTGTTATTGTTCTTTTCTCTTAATAATACATTCTCAATGAAATGGTATGACAAAAAAAAATCTTTATGACCAATAGAATTTTTCACCTTTTTTCTATTTTGAAGCTTTCGGGTTGAAATTCAAGTTTTCTTGAAAAGGAAAAAAAAGATTCAATGATAATGACATATTGATAACCTTTTGTTGATTTTTTTTATGTCATTGTGTTTGATTATTCTATGATGGTCCTCATAAAAATCTTTCAAGATTTTGTTCAGTGAAACATACATAATACAGCTGATTTCTTGAGCTGAAATTCTTGAGTTGAACAAAAAATGATCATTGATTTTGTCTATTGTAAAATGAAATTCTGTTGTATGTTATCGATAGATAAGGTTGGTTAATTTTTCTTTCTATTGTAAATAATAATCAACCTGTTTAATTTATGAGCAATACTCTGATTGTTGAAATGTTGCGGTCGAAAATGACCTTGTTCATGATACTTGAATTACTTGGCAGTTTTTTTCGTTTTGTTTTGTTTTTTTTTTTTCATCTTTTATTTTGCTGCTGCCATTTTTCATTTATCGATTCTTTTTTTTCAAGTTGGTTGGGTATTATTCATCATTTTATTCAATCGAAATTCGTTTCTATAGTAGTTCCATGGTTATGTGTACACAGTCTCTATCTGTGTGTGTGTGTATTTGAGTAGTTGTTTATTAAACCACTACAAAGTTCGTTTGTATGGTTTTTGTTTGTTGTTTCCGTAAAAAAAATGTTGAACTTCAACCTAAAACTAATGGAATAAAAGTTGTGGTTACCTGTTTGAAGCTATGTTTTTTTTTCTTGTATTTATATTCTGCATTTTATTTATTGAGACTTGTTGCTCATTGTGAACACACACACACACCGAGAGATAGAGGCCGTTGTTTTGGTAAAGTTTTTTTCCACTTGAATTTTTTTTTATTTCTGTTATTATTGTTGATTGCTGCTCCTGTGATACAAGGTGATGTTCGTCCATTTTGTTGTTGTTGTTGTGGTGGTGGTGGTGGTGGTCATAGTGTTGTTGAATATTCGCAGATAAAAGAGTAAAGATCATTGAACAACAACAACAACGAAAAGAGAAGAGACAATAAATATTTTTCTTTTACACCATTACTGCTAGTAGCTAGTTTATCTGGCCAGTTGTTGTTGTTGTTGTTAAGTCTGACCATTATTATTCTCATCATCATCATCATCATACGTTTTGCTTTGCGAATCGTTGAACATCCCATTCATTCATTCATTCATCCATCCATCCATGTAAATATATTTTTTGCTCTTTTAGTTCATGGGCAATTTTCAAAGTTCGACTCTCTCTCTCTGTCTCTTTTTCTCGATTTTTTCATTTGACTTGTATAGATTTAATTCAGCCAAGAAGAATCATTGATATGGACATTTTTATGTTCATGAGCTATCCACATGTGTGTGTGTATGTGTAATCGTTTGAAAGAATGGAAACATTGGTTCAGGTCCATTGTCTTTTAGTATAATTTTTTTTTTATTTAGATGAAACAAATGTCGTACATTTTTCTGTATGGACCATGTTCACACCATGATGAATTGAATTATTTTTTTTCTTCATTCTCAATGTTTCATCAAGATTTCATCACCCGAAACCATTATCAATTTGTGTAATTAAATTCATGTTTTTGTTCATTTTTTTCCCATTCAAAATGAAATGAACAAACAAATGTTGTTGATCATCAGTGACATCAAATTTCACTTTCATTTCATATACATCATTACTACGATTCTATGTCTGTTATCCAAATAGTTTTTTTTCATTTTAATTAATATATTAATCTCACTTTTATATATAAATTGTCATCAAACATTTTGTGTTGTTTTGTTTCATTCATTCACTTTACTTGAATCCATTTTGTTTGTGCGTATGTGTGTGTGTCAGTGGATTGATAATCATTATTGTATGATGATTATACAATAACGACGACAAAAACCATAATTATCATTATTATTATCCATCAACATATATTCGAAATGATCGACGAATCGAATCCTGTTCTTTCATCTTGTTGTTGTCGTTGTTGATGATGATTATGATTATAACCACATCATTTAATTGTCATATATATAGTAGTTTAATTATTAATCTACATTGATGGCTGTGTGTGTGTGTGTGTTTGTAAAATGATCGCTGCCATTCCCAATATTAATATAATAATAATAATAAATCTGTCATTCAATTTCAATCATTCAAACATTTACTTTTGATGATTCTTACTATACTACTCGACTTGTTTACTACATACATATATAATATAAAAAATTAATGTTTTTTCTTCGTCTCTCAAGATTTTTAATATTTTAACAATTTTTGACGATCATCTCTGCCATATATTTTTATGATAACGAAAATTGCCATAGAAATATCATTCATTCATTCATTTTTTCCCGTTTCACCATTTCAAACTTGCAAACACATGCACTTACAATACACGCTGTGTATATGATCAATTTAAACTAGATTAGATTAGATTAGGTATCGAAAGTGATCCACCGATATATTTGATATATCGATAAGCGACACAAAAAACTAAAACATCCAATGTATTCATGTCATGTTTAACAAAAAAAAAATGACATTTTGATTTCTCTAAATGCATCCACAATAACATTATTTGAGCAGAAAAAAAGTTGGAAATTTTTTCCCGTCAATTCGGATTAATTTGTCGTACGTAACTTATTCCATCAAGAAATTTTTCTATTGGATTTCATAATTTTCGGTCATTGAATTGTTGAAATTTCTTTTTTTTGTTCGTTTGTGGGTGTATGAAAGCGAACATTGACACCTTCAGTTTTTTTTCATGATCATCATCATCATCATCATCATCATCATGATTGTCAACCACAAATCATTAAATGTTCAATTATTATTATACTTGTAAAGTCATCGATCGACAAGATGAACGAAAAAATTATAAGTTTCGCCCACTATCAATGATATCGTGAAAAAAAATAACCTGAACAGATTATTGTTGATTCATACAAAGTTCATCTGACATTATTCTGTGTGTGTGTGTGTTTGTGTGTTTGTTTGCCGTTTTTTCCCTTCTGTCATCAATGAGAGATAAGAGTTTGTTTTTTTTTGGAAATCTAAAATTCTGTTCAGGTCGACGCCCGAGAATACAACAGAGAAACGCCCAAATTTATTTGAAATCCCCCCAGAAAAAAATTGTATTTATATAGATCATTGGCATTGGTAGAAGGAAGAAGAAGAAGAAAAAATTCCAGTAATTATCTCACACTCACACATGAAATTCAGCAACGAAAAATGATTATGATGATGAC